CCCGGGAAAAAAAACAAAAAACAAAAATATTTCTTCTTCTCCTTTTTAGAGCAAGTCCTTGTAGATGACCTAAATGCTCACAAAAAATTTCCAATACGCGCGGAAGAAGGGACTGAATGACTTTGACCCAAGTCAAAGGTCTTGAGGTAGCAATTGATGCGCAGAGATCCAAGCCGGCCCAAGTCTAAGATAGTGGCGTACCAGCAAAATTTTTTTTAAAGAGAAATACCGGCAACTAATAAACTGTTTGTTTCAAGTTGTTTTTTTTTTTAATTTTGGGGTTCTCTAGTGGAAAATTAAACACATCAAATCTCAATTCTTTTTAAAAAAAATTTTATTCAAAACCTTGCAATCCTACAAATTTATTTCACAGAGGATTGATGAAATATTTCAGATTTGCTTTCTAAAATTTTTAATCCTATTATATCCTGAAAAGAGAATTTACATTAACCTAAAATAAACTTGAATTACTAAGTGAGACAAATATTTTTTAGACGAAGTGCTTCAGTCCTAAAAAATTCTCTCTCCTCTATTTTACTAACAAGTTTCCTACATGTCACCTTTTTCTCAATGCGAATCTTCAATATTTGGAATTTTTTGCCAAGTTATAAATGCCAATGCGCACCGTCAAAACTTAACAAGGACGACAAAAATAAATAAGAAACAAGAATACAAAAAAAAACCATAACAAAGACTTATATATACTGATCTCTCCATTTTCCTCTTGTTTCCATGATAATAACACATAAGACTCACTTTTTGACTTGTTTGCATCCAGACACGGCATCGTCGAACAACGTTGTGCTGGGTCCAGTTGCGTATGTATCGGGCATTTTGGATCCGTCCTTTGCCAATCGGCGAAAAAAACCAAGTCCTCAGGATCCTAACTTGATGATATCAATGCACAAAAAGTTGAAACTATCTTAAACAAATAAATACTTTATATATTGATGTTGATGCTTAATTGAGATTTTAACTAATTAAATTGGAAAATTCAGTTTCGGTAAGAAGCAACTGAGTCTTATACATCCCAACGTGTTAAACTGCCAACCCCACCACCCCACCACTTATTTAGCCCACCTCCACAAACAATCCAAACTGAATCGGCCATAATTAATCACTCCTTTCCTCCTCCTCCTCCTCCTCCTCCTCCTCTCTGTGATGGCGAAAATCCCCGGGCTCAGCCAGAGCTCAGCAAGGCGTGAGGATCGCCGAAACTATCCAGTGAAATGTTTGTTATTATGTAGAAAAGCCAGCAATAGGAGCGGGAAGATTTCGGAGTATGCGTGGAGAATGGGATTGGTGTCGTTCTTGTTGTTCATATTTGCAGTTGTAGGCATGACGAAGGTTTCGCAGATTGGAGGAGGGATCGGAGAGAGGGCTACTTTGGTGCATCGAATTATTGTCAGCAGAAGCACGGCATGGAGTTTGAGAGAGGAGGAAGAAGATGAGAATATGAGGAGCATTAGGGTGAGCACCGAGAGACAATCTCAGCGTTCGGTACGTACAATTCTCCTGTCTTTTTCATTTTTGTCCAGTGATCCATATTCATATCCCAGCCAACAGAATCACCGTGATATATATGTTTGTTTCGTTCGTCCCTTCAATGCTTTTGTCATATAACATGACTTTAGTCGTGTTTCTATATTTGTTTTGCAATTTGTTTTGGTTATGCTCACGCCCTTTGCTTTGGAAGATTTAGTTCTCAATTTAAACATGATTAATGTTTACTTGCGTCCTTTTTTGGGTTTTCTTCTTTAGTTTCGTTATTAATAATGTTTGTAGTTTGCGCACTGCTCTGCATTAATATTGAATTATTGCTTTAATTAATTAGTTGTGTTTGGGACTATCGGAATATTCTTATAGGTCGACCACAAGCGAGACTTACATATTTTTAAGTGCAAATGAGATATACTTAGTCAAAATTCCAATAAAGGTAACCAGCAAGCATTTTCTAAAGTGTTTGTCAAGTTACGCTTTTATCAAAATAATAGGGATTGCTTTAGGTTAACATAGCCAGATTTCTTCGAGTTGGTACGATTATATCGATCATGTTAATTGGAGAAGATTGTAGTATCTTTTCTTTAGCTTTCCTACCTTACTGAAGAAATACCTCAGGCTGTAGCTGTATGGACTTGTACACTCCCTACGATGATACGAAGGGTCATGTTGAGCTGAACTTTTCTACATCATTAAAGTCGTTTGAAGTCCAATCCATTTTATAACCTTAAAGCTTACAAATTCAATTCCAGGTGACAGGTTTGATCATGTTAGGCGATGGAGGCTTCATACTATTGCTTAAGGGCTTTAGATAAGACTTAAATTCAAGGAAATAAATGATATGCAACTAATTCCATCATGTTAGGTGTTACCTCAGTCATAATCATTACCTCATTCATATTCTAGGTCGGCAATCAAAAATTAAGCAAAACATGAGAGAATTCAAGTTAACCAGCAGCTCAAGGTTCTTACCTATCAATCAACCTATTAATTTAAAAAAAATAGTAACGGGTTGCTTGTCAACCGCAAATCAGCTCTACACTCATACTTGTTCAATCTTTGCATAGAAGGGTGGAAGCATCTTAATATATTTTTTCCAGAACAAGAAGCTATAGGAGTTTCCTTCAGATTGCAATGTATAACACTTTTTAATTAACAATTAGGATGAATCATTAAATAAAAAACAGAGCCGGGGAGGAAATTAAAACTTGGTACGCTAGATAGATATGCCAATCATCTGAAAAGTTTATTTCACTAGGGATACCAATGGCAGACAACGATATCATATAGGATGCAACTCATTTGTAGAAAAATTAAAGAAATATAATGATAAATTATTTTCACATTGATTATCAGTCCTTGTAAGTGGGTGGTTTACAATTTTATTATGGTTCTCCATTTGTCTGATTTTGTTCTCCCTTCTGTTTTTACACAGATCCCTGAAATCTGGATGAAACCGAGTAGTGAAGGTTATCATCAATGCATTGAAAGGCCAAAAGATAAAACCTGTAAGTTGCATCCTACATATCATTCTCTTCATAGACTTTTACAAGTTCAGAAGAAAAACATTTTACGATAACGATTCAGTGCTTTTTCAGGGATTCCTGGCACAAGGACGGACGGCTATCTTCTAGTTCATGCTAATGGTGGTCTAAATCAGATGAGAACAGGAGTAAGCATCATACCCTATAATAATTCTTGTGGAATAATGTTGATGTTTCGATTATGGAAGTGTTAAATGTCCAATGCAGATATGTGACATGGTGGCTGCTGCAAAACTAATGAATGCAACATTGGTTCTTCCCTTTCTCGATCATGCTTCCTTTTGGACAGATCACAGGTATGAAATCTTGTCTTCATAAAAATGTAAAGAAGTATTTTGAGGGAGCAATCTAGGGCTTCGAACTTGATCTTTGTTTAAAATATGATGTGCAGTGAATTCAAGGATATATTTGACTGGAAACATTTTGTAGATGTATTGAAAGATGACATTGAGATAGTGGAGTCTCTACCACCCAAGTATAAAGCTATAAAGCCCTTCGTGAAGGCACCTACTTCCTGGTCCAAGGTATGTTTTAGAAGCTGTTTAGATACATGGACTTGTGCTATGATCGAACAGCTGGATATGAAAAACATTCTCCTATTTCTGCAGGGCTTTTATTATAAGAACTATAAGAAAATTCTAAAGAAGTATAAGGTGGTGAAGTTTACCCATACAGATTCCCGACTTGCAAATAATGGCCTTGCTCCTTCAATCCAAAAGCTTAGATGTCGCGCAAACTACAAAGCACTGCAATATACACCTCAAATAGAAGAATTGGGAAAGACAGTTGTCAAAAGACTCAGAAATAGGAGCAACTATTACATTGCCCTCCATTTGAGGTACTTTAAATCAATCAGATTTTTTAGATTTTTCCAAATAGGAATGTCTATTACAAGATGCAATTATTTTGATGAGATTTATTATTTCTCCCCCAAATTACAGATATGAAAAGGACATGCTCGCTTTTACTGCTTGTAGTCACAACCTAACATCAAATGAAGCACAAGAACTCCAAACCATGCGTTATAATGTGAGACATTGGAAGGAGAAAAAGATCAATGGCAATGAAAGGCGAAAGTTAGGAGGTTGTCCAATGACTCCCAGAGAGGCTGCTGTTTTCCTCAAGGCTATGGGTTATCCTTCTGCAACAAACATATACATAGTTGCGGGGGAAATTTATGGTGCTCATAGCATGGATGCCCTCAGAGCAGAATACCCAAATATTCATACACACGACACCGTAGCAAATGCCGAGGAGTTAGCACCTTTCAAGATGCACCAGAATCAGCTTGCCGCAGTGGATTACGTTGTAGCACTGAATAGTGATGTTTTTGTGTATACTTATGATGGCCATATGGCTAAGGCATTGCAGGGTCATCGGAAATTTGAAGGATTTCTCAAGACAATCAGTCCTGATAGGTATGTTTGCATGGGTAGTGGTTTTAAAGTTCTTGTGTTTCTTTAATCAGATTTTAACTGAATACTAAAACATTGAACTGTTTTGGAATCTCTACAGACAAAAATTTGTCAAACTAATAGATGAACTGGACAAGGGGGCTATAACGTGGGAGGAATTACAAAGTGCAGTAAAGCAGCATCATGCTCATAGACTTGGAGGTCCCTATGAGAGGAGACGGGGAGCAAATCCAAGGCTAGAGGAGAATTTTTATGCAAATCCTCTTCCAGGATGCCTTCACAGACCACAGCGAAAATTTTGAAAGGTTACCAAAGAAGCTCGACACATTTTGCCAGGATTGAGCATTTGGATAACAGGGTAACTGTGCTTTGTAAGATACAGCAACCCCTGCCCTTCGTGCTATAGAAATGAGAATTTGGGATAGACCTTATCTAACCTTTCCAGATGCTCAAATACTTTCCTCATCTGGTTTCTTCTTAACAAAGTCGGTTGTATATATAATTTTATACAACAAATTGATGATGAGTTGCATAGACATGCATACTTCTATTTTTGAAAGAGAATAATTCTTTGGAATAGAAAAGGTTAATGAAAGCGGAACTTGCACCAATACTTTCAGGAGTTGTAGGATGTATTCAATTTAGTGGATTTGAAGTCCTTTGATTTTGATAAAAGGCTATTCTAGTTAAAACGATAAATCTTTCTTTCAAAATAGATAAATCTTTCTTTTAAATTTACTCTTGGCTGGTAACGTAGCTTATGCACTATTTTACTGCATAGAGCTTCAAAATTTAACCTGCAAGCGAACATGCTTTTAGTAACATCACTTGATAACTTCTCAACTTCTCTTATAATCTTCATACTAGAATTTGATTCAACCATTCCACGATGATCAAGGGGGGAAAGGTAACTAAGATTCTTTAACAAGCTTGGGAGACTTGCGCACAAACTAATCTGGTTTACACATTATCAGACAGTGGATATAAATAATAAGAAAAGAATTCTAAAGACAAACATCAAATTCAATCATTTTTTGGCAAGAAAATAACAGTAATTCAGATGCAATTTCTATGGCATGGCAGGAGCTAAGCAGTGTCTTCGCTTAAAGCGGAAGAAGCAACCAGAATAACATAAATACTGAAGTATTTTCTCAAGGGAAAAAACACCAAAGAAACTGAAATGACATGAATGCGACAAAATTTTACTGCAAGAAGTACAATCAATCGGTATATTTGTACAAATAATCAATCGATGAACTATCAGTATGCCACATTCTAGTTGACAATTGTTCTTAAATGAACAGTTACGGAGGTAGGAAGAGGAACAACAGATTAATCTGATACGAAGGTCATATATTACTAGAAAAGAAACTTATCTTTCATCCAGGACCTCATAAGTCAGCGAACAAATGATATGTTCTAGAATCAACTACAATGAGTCTTATTGCTGCAATTGCAGCTGCTATAGCCAAGCAGCTGAAGCCCACAACGTTTAGCCAATGCCAAGTTTTCTGCGTTGCTGAAAGCTTGTTCTTCTTTGCCTTTAGATACATGTGATTTGCAAGAACAAAAGTAAGAGGGAACGTGCTCAAAGCTCCAGTAAGGCTCATGAAGTCTCCAAGAAATGGCAGCAAAGCAGCTACAAAAGTATTTACGGTGAGGTAGCCTCCTCTTACAAGAACCCTAAATGATACGTTGTGGAAGGAGAAAGCATTGCCTTTTCCTCTCCCATACTGTGTATCCAAGTATTCATACATTGGGCTTGCAAATATCTGAAAACATATGGAGTAATATGGTCGGCATTAGAGAAGGATAAATTCACACAAATTCATTGACATAATGCAGGAACACATTCTGAACTTTAGGGGAACAGCATATCCTACAGATATATCTTTGGTCATTCTCTTTTTATAGAAGTAGCTATAACAGAAGCATGAAAACAAATATTTTGTGCTATTGAAAAGCAAAAAGTAACAAATGCATAGGATTAGTATCTCAAATGAAACAATATCAGGTAACTACAATTGTTAAAGACAGTTGTAAAGAGAGTGATTTAGATGGATTTTGTTCTAATTTAACAGCTTTATATGCTAGAACTCAATGATCTAGCATGAGTACTTAAAAGTTCCAATATGGACTTTAATTTTTTTAATATGACAGCTTCAAATTATTGGATTGCTCGTAGATATCAGATGCTCCACACAAAGTGCACCAATTGTATTAGCATTAAAAAAAACACATGGCACGGACATATATTGCAAAGAACAAACATTTTATAGCTACATAGTGATCTTTTCAGAATGTAGGGATGTCTATGTTTATGAGGGATGTCTATGTTTACGAGAAAAACAAAATTATGGTATATGAATGAGACTTGAGAGGGAGAATATCAACTCACATGCAAAGCAATAACAGTCTGCAAGAAGGCTGCAGCATTGGCCATTGTCTTGACCCAAACTGGGCCATTTACGCTGTTGAGGAGATAAGTTGATGTTGAGGAGCCATACGCCCAATAACCCACAAAAGTGACGGCATATAATGGCAAGACACCAACAGTGAATTGAAACCAAAGTGCTTTGTCCATGTTCCTAATGACAGGTGGTTTTACTGTGGCCTGCAATAATAAAAGGAAGTCAAGGCAATAAGATGGTGCCTACAGAGTTGAGTACAAGTTCATGACTTCACATGCAGGTTCACTTCTCATAAATGAAAGAGGCTATATATAAAGGAAATGTAAGAAGAAATCTCCAAAATGACTCTTAAGTTAAGTCCCTCTAACCATTAGACCAAAACTCCGAAGTTATGGTAAAGATCGACAATTATAGTTCTATATTAATTGTAACATCCCCTACAGGTTGAGCGCCCTTTTTTACAGGTCGAAACCTGGACTCGGGTAACGGTGTCAACTTTTAGAAAATCCTTTAAATTCGTGGCTATATATAAAGGAAAGGTGAGAGGAAATCTCCAAAATGACTCTTAAGTTAAGTCCCTCTAACCATTAGACCAAAACTCTAAAGTTGTGGTGAAGATCGACAATTATAGTTTTATATTAATTCTAACACCCCATTGCAGGTTTGAACGCCCTTTTTTACAGGTCGAAATCTGGACTCAGTTAGCAGTGTCAACTTTTAGAAAATCCTTTAAATTTGTGGTTAGTGGGATTTGAACCCGGGTTGATTTGATACCATCTTAAATTAGGTTCCTCTACATCAAAACTCCGATGATATTATGAAGATCGAGGATTATAGTTTTATACAAATTCTAACAATGACAATAACTTCTAATGGTATTTTTATAAAACTACCTGTATTTCTGGCAGCATTCCTGTATTGTAAGCAAAAACTAGACTCGCCACTGCACCAATCGTACTGAAGATCTTACTCGTATGAGGTCCTGGTATATTATAACCTCGAGGGGGTTGATTTACTCCTGTATGAAGATCAATCACATAAATGGGGGCATAAGTTATCCAGAATAAATGAAAGAACCAACCAAATGAAAGAATAAACAATTATATGAATGGGTTTGCCATGTTCATGTCCAATGGAAAATAACTGAATGTGGCAGCATCCAAATTAGTCTGATAATATAAAGACAAACCAGGTAGGAATATGTAAGAAAAATAATAAAAACAACAGAAAAGAGTAGTACCATCCTTGAGAGAGAGCACAAATGCTATAATAATATACACGAGACTAAAGAATGTTGAGAACCCCAACCAAAGCCTCAGTGCCGATAGGTGAGGTATCCCAAAAGCAAACAAAGCACAAACAAGCCCAGCAATAGCAATACAATATGGAAGCTTCAATGCGTCATCATCCCTGTAAAGCACATATATTGCCTGAAAACAAAATTAATCAGGTTCCGCCATTCCAGCCAGCCAATGTACTTGTCTTCTATCTAATAAGTACAAGATGATCAATGAAAATAGCAATAAGCCCTACCTTTAATGCCTGTCCAGCCAAAATAATGTAACCCGTATTAATCATAAACAAGTTCACATATTGCAAACCCCATGTAAGTGCGTACATCTTTCTTCCTGCAAGAACAAACAAGAAGCTCGAAACCTGTAAGCATAAGGAACTTCTATCCGGCTTAGTTCACCTGAAATTCACAATATGTACTCACATACCGTAGATATGACCAGCGAGATCTCTATATCGGATGTGCCGTTTACCACCAATCTCATGAAGATGTGAAACAAGTGTGTTTGCATAAAGGGATATTGCAGCTGCCAAAACTAAACCAACAACACCTGCTACCCATCCTAAAGGAACCATAACGGATCCAGAGTATCCCAATACATATGCACTGTTTATCCCAGTAGTCAGCACAAATCCAACTTGATACCAAGGGTCTGATAATTCCAGCAAATGGAACTAAAAAAAGTTAGCTTTTATTACTGTAGAAAATGGGTAATTTACGGATAAGTCCCCTCGTCTGTATCTTAAGTAGCACTTAACACTCCTCAACGATGAACTATTTTATTAACTTAACAAGTCCATGAGGAAGAGGGGGTTATTGCACAATTTATTCTTTCAAAAAGTACTAACCCGGGAGCGTCAAGTGAATAAAGTACCGAAGATACAAATGAGGGTGTTATCTGCAATTTACCCTAACATCCTGCGTTAAAAAGACCTAATCCTTCCTCAGCACAGAAAGGATCACCGCGAATACTGTCACAAGCTTATCAGACTTAGATTCAGTTATCTTGCTTACAAGAAAATGGATTGTTTTGCATCATTAGAGCTTGGAGGTGATTAATTTGATATAAAACGTACGGAATCAGGAGAGGGTAAACCAACCGTGACTAATCTGATGAGCAGTCTCATCAGCTGCTTCGATCCGCGATCCTTTCTCCCCCCCAACATCCTCCGTCGCCGTCGCCTCCGCCATCGAATCCGGTTCTCTGCCTCCCAACAACAAAGAGGTGACGGGATCCTCCTCCGCCAGCCTCGGCGCTACCTAAAGAAACAAACTTTGACAGCAAGAACGCACTCAAATCCAGCGAATCTGGAGGGTAAACCGATTCTGAAACCAAAAAAAGGAAAGAACGAAAGCTGGCTTACATCTGATCCCATCACAAGAGGAGGTTAATATACGGAAAGATCCGAGAAATTTTGTGGGCCTGATTCCACTCCAACCGCCGCTGTGAGTCTGTGATGCGACGGCCCACGCTCCGAGGAGATGGCTGTTTTTTTTTGGATAAGAACCCAGGTCCGGTTGCGGGGGCTCCTTCCCGTTAATGGGTTTGATTGAGGAACCGAACGCGGAGGATTCGGTGGTTAATAACAGAGCGCGGGGAGAAGTGTTAAAACAAGGGCAGTTTGTTTGCAGCAAGCAAGCAAGCTGTCGCTTCATTAACGGACGCTGGGGATATGTTTGTTTATTAATTTAATTGATGGTGTTTCATGTGACGTATAAAACTTGCTTTGTAGTTGTATCGTATGACAGCGACTTCTGAAGATTTGATAGGCAAAAGTTTTTTTGGGCCAATGATCGGCTCAGACATACCCTTTTTCTCCCCCCCTCCCTTTTTCGTGATAGCGGGTCAGATATATTCCTTCACGGAGTAAACCAAATTATTGGTGACATCTCAGCTACCGAACGGTGATATACTCTAATTTTATTTCAGAAAACGATTCTTTAAAGAGGGGTGATAGGGGCACACCCCCAACCACACCCTCCACCACACCTCCTCTCCCTCTATAGTGCATTAGGCCTCACATCAAATTTTTAAAAAAATTTGATGTGGTGCCCAATGCACTATAGAGGGAGAGGAGGTGTGGTTAGGGTTGTGACCCTAACATTTCTATTCTTTAAAAGGTTCTAGGAAACATAAAAGGGACTCTAAAAGCAACATTCTCGTGTGTTGCTGCAGCCCCTTCATTTTTTCTCCCATAGTTCAGCCTCAAAAAGTGTGACATCTTATGATGCAGGTTTTTTTAAACAATTTTTACTTATGGACTAAGCATAGAGAGATGATAAAAAGTAAAAAAATCCTAAAATATTCTTACCTACTTTATTCTTTCATGTTAGGTGTATTTAGAATTCTTGTTATATCTATTTAGAGTTCTTGTTAGGTCTAATTTCAGCTCAATTTAATTCATATAAAGTCTAATTTAATTCTTTTTAAGTCTAATTTAAATCATATTATGTCTAATTCAACTTGTTTTAAGTCTAAAGTCTAATTTAATTCTTTTTAAGTCTAATTTAAATCATATTATGTCTAATTCAACTTGTTTTAAGTCTAATTTAATTGGACTTAACATTTAAGTCTAATTTAAATCATATTATGTCTAATTCAACTTGTTTTAAGTCTAATTTAATTGGACTTAACATAAAATTAGAGTTTAAAAAACTAAATTAGACTTAACATAGATTTAAATTAGACTTAAGAGGAATTTAATGTTAGACCCTAGAGGGGGGGTGATTAGGGTCTTATGCTAATCTAATCCGATTAAATGCCAATTAAAAATAATTAACAACTATATTCTTGCAAGATAGGTGTACAATCTATAATGGGCAAGAATATGCAATATACAATACAATATGATATATGTATAGGATATGTAAACTAACACAAGGGGTAAACAATCTAAACAAGATAGTGGATGATATAGAAATGAGCAATGCACAATAGCGATATAAGATATGAACATAAATATGAAAGAACGCCAAAGCACACTCAAACAAGCAATATGATCACGGAGTTCGGACCTTCCGTCCTACGTCTCCGCTCCCCACTCCCGGGGAGAAATCCACTATCACAACCGGGTTTTCTACGCTCACCCGAATAACGTTTACACCTCACAGTGTCGGTTTTCAACGCTCACCGCGGGTTTTCTACGTTCACCCGAATAACGTTTACACCTCACAGTATCGGTTTTCAACGCTCACCGATCAACGTCACTCCTCACACTCGGTTTCTAGCTCACCGAAAACCTCACTACACACTCGGTTTCTAGCTCACCGAAAACCTTACAACACTCACAAAGTAAATACAACAAATTTGTTCTCTACAATAGATGAGAACACAATGTAGCACAACTCAAGGTTACAATCTCTCACCACCCAACTATACTATGTATGAAAGATACAATAAGCTCAATGTGGGTGTGTGTATAACAATGAGTAAGTAAAACTTAACTCAATAAGAACTAGCAATAAGAATTGATATGAAATTCAATAGTAAAAATGCTAGGAAATAGAGTTAAGGAAACTTCTCTATAAACACAAAGAGAGGATGATGAAATGTTGAAGATGAACTCTTCAATAGCTGATTGTAAACTCCTCTTTGTAACAGCAAACCAAAACAAACTTAAACCAAACAAAAACAAGCTTAAACCCTTGTTTAAAACCTTGTTTAAAAACTTCTTTAAAAACTTCTTAGCTTAGTTGAAAAGACATCAGCAATGGGGTATATATACCCACTAGAAATCTCAGCAAAAACCCCCAAAACAAAATGACCAAAAACCCCAGCAAACAGCTCAGAGAAAGAGCCGTTAAAAAGCAACGGCTATATTGTCGGTCGACCGAAAATTCCGTCGGTCGACCGATGAGAGCAAAAACACGAAGAAAACGTTCTGGACCATCGTCGGTCGACCGAAAATTCTGTCGGTCGACCGATTTGAGCTCTCGGTCGACCGGACCGGTCGACCGATGACTCTCTGGAAAAATACTAACGAATGGTCAATTGACCGGTCGACCGAAAACTGACATTCTAGAAAAATCGGTTTTAGAGCTGATTTTAAAACACTGTTTAAAAATATCAAATAAATTCAGAAAAATGTAAAACTTTGGGGAATGATTGTAGACATGATAATACACATGCTACAAAAACTGGTTTTCTAAAAAGACTTCCCAAATGAGAAATATCATCATTTTACAAAATAGTCCAAAACATGAAAACCTGAAAATTGATATTTTGATATTTTGACTTAAACAACATTTTGAAACCTTATGAAATGATTGTATAGACTTGATAAAAGATATAATATGTTGTTATGAAGTCTATAACCTAGAAATGCAATATTTTCATAAAATTGCATATTCTATGCAATATATTCAAAACACTAAATATGATTTCATTAAATATAAGCTTGTTAAAGGTGAAATCATATATAGGCATATAAACATGAAACAAAATAGTATTTTCCAATTCTATTCATTTGTTTCATAGTAAAACTTGAAAACTATCAAACCAAAACATATATGTATATATATAACTATATATATACAAAAACCAAAACGTGTATGTGTGTATATGATTGAGCTTAAAGTACTAACACACATAATATAAATTCCTAAACTAAATTACCCAAGCAATGATCTTGATCTTCAATAAGCTTGACTTGGTAATCTCGCGGATGAAGCTTGAACTTGGATCTTGAACTTTGAATAGCAAGGCTTCACCGACATTCCGCCAACCTCCTTTGGATATGATCGTTGAAGCTCTATTCCATCCATCCTCCAACAACGTTGTTTGTCTACAAAACATAGGAATGCACAAACACTAGACAAACAACATTAGTAATAAATTGTTTGTTAAACATCATCAAAACAAGAAGGCCAACAATCTCCCCCTTTTTGATGATGACAAACAATTTACAAAAAGGAATATATGCATGAAGGAAATGAACATATACAAGATAATAACTCACATGCATATAAACAAACAAGATAGATATACTCACAATATTTCTCCCCCTTTGACAACATCAAAAAGGGGACAAAAGAATTAAGAGAGCGAAAGCTCCCCCTACAAATAAGCATGGGTGAGTATGAAGCAAGTATAGGGATTGCTCCCCCTATCAAAATGCCATATGGAATATATGAAATGAATATCATGGCAAACATATGTGAGCATGCATAAATAATATGCCAAAAATCACTCACATTCAAGAGATAATGAGAACATATATAAATATATCAAGATGAACATATTGTCTCATATCAAAAAAGCCAATGTATAAAATAGATTTATGAAATCAAAAGAAGAGAAACATGAGAATCATGTAAAAAGTTTTCAAATAAAAATTTTAGGCACATATGCATTTTTAGAAGTAGAACATAAATAGTCATTTATAAAAGAAGCTGTATTATTTTGTATGTTCTTTACTTCTAACATGGCATTATCTCTTTCATGAGTTAAACTAGCAACGTTTGAAGTTAAAGAAACATGATCCAATTTTAATTTTTCATTGTTTTCTTTAAGGATCACATTTTCATTAGAAATAGTTTCAAACTTAGATGCTAACAACTCATGATCGGATTTCAAAATTTCATGCTTGCTTTGTAAATTAATGAAATCATTTTGCAATTTGTTAAAGGCATGTAATAATTTTTCACTAGCACAAGCAAGTTCATCATTAGGTAAATCATTTATGGTTTCGAACTCGCAAACCTCACTAGGGCTATCGCCTAGTGGCCGTGTGCATGATGCTCCACATGAACTTGAAGCGGGATCCTCCAAAGCTTGTCGGATCGCCTCCAAGTCTCCTTGATGTGCTTCTATAAATATCCATAAGGTGTAAGCACTATCAAAATGAACAAACTTGTTAGACATAGATGAGTTAAAAGCATTTAACAAATATTCTAACAAAATGTTGTTCATAGTAAACATGCGATGATCATTTTTATTCCACTTGGATTTCTCCAAAATGGGCACAATATAAGCATCATCTATAATTTCCCATAAATCAAAATGTTTAGATCTAACAAATAGTTTAAATCTAACACACCATTGGGCATAGGGGAAATTGTCTAATCTAGGAGCAACACTAGAATCATAGCCTAAACAAGATGCATCATTCATATCCATAATTTGTAAAAATATGCAAGCAAGATACAAATGCAATCAAAACAAGATTAGCACAAAAATATAACTTGGATCTTTAACTCAAGGCGATTAGACCTTAAATCAAAGAGCACCAAGCTCTGATACCAATTGTTAGACCCTAGAGGGGGGGTGATTAGGGTCTTATGCTAATCTAATCCGATTTAAATGCCAATTAAAACTAATTAATAAGTTATCCTAGCAAGTATGAAATACAACAAGAATATAAGCTAGGATAAGCAATATGAACAATGAGATATATCCTATATGATAGAGATATATGCAAGGATATATAAACAACACAAGGGTAAATAATCTAAACAAGATAGTGGATGAAATAGATAATGAGCTAATGACAATGGCGATATAAGATATGAACATAAATATGAATGAACGCCAAAGCACACTCAAACAAGCAATATGATCACGGAGTTCGGACCTTCCGTCCTACGTCTCCGCTCCCCACTCCCGGGGAGAAATCCACTATCAACCGGGTTTTCTACGTTCACCCGAATAACGTTTACACCTCACAGT